AGGGAAAGAAAGGGAGACTGATTAGCAAGTGATTGGGCCCAGAGGTGGCAATGGGGTGGGGGTGGAGGGTTGAAAGGAGAGAAGGGATGAGAGATGTTTCAAGGTAGAAATACCTTTAAAAATCCAACGGTGTCCTTTATCTGAGTGGTGTTAAAAATTCAGAGTTTGCGCTCTGTGTTCTTTCCTGTAGGTAAGTCATTCTTAATGAAAAAAGTAAATTAATCAAATGGCTGCCAAGTTTTACTCTATCATCAGCATTTGTGTGGTCCTCATCTGTCTCCTAATCTCTTCTTCATCTCTTATCAACTAAAACTGGAAAATACCTTAGATGAGGATCCACAGAAGTCAGAGTGATTGTGAAACCCGTGTGGACTTTATATTGTATATACAGACGAGTACCATCCCTCAAAACAGACTCATTGGTAAGAAAAGCAGTACTGATAAGAATAATAATAGTAGAAGCAAAATAAAGTTTCTTTTGGAATAGATAATTTCAATAGACATTTATTAACTGGCTGTTCTGAGCCAAAGACCTTTTAAAAATATATATTAATTACTTAATTAATTTGGTTGTGCCGGATCTTAGTTGCGGCTCGCAGGCTCCTTAGTTGTGGCATGCGAGCTCCTTAGTTGTGGCATGTGAACTCCTTAGTTGCAGCATGCATGTGGCATCTAGTTCCCTGACCAGGGATGGAAGCCGGGCCCCCTGCATTGGGAGTGTGGAGTCTTATCCATTGTGCCACCAGGGAAGTCCCCCCACCAAACACCTTAATGGGGGTTGGTGGGAGCTTCTAAGGTGAACTGGAAGACACGGTTCCTGACCTAAGGAGATCACAACTTGACTGGGAACAAAGTTGTGGTCAGAAATTTAAAACGTTGACAAAGGAGATGGTGTTACATGGTATTTCACAGAAAGAAGTTGGGGGAAAAGACACCACAAAGGGAGAAAGTGTGTAAGCAAAGCAAAGAGGCAGAGAATCTCTGTCTAAGGAATTGCAGGTAGGTACATGTAGCTGGAATGGAGGATGTGTATCTCTGTGGGGAGGTCCGGGTATGCTGAAGCTTGAAGCTTCTCCCTAAACAGGTTGTGACCGGATCAAGGCCAGCGTTGAATGGCATGCTAACAAATCACTGTTGTTTACTGAGTTGACTAGTCTGTGCTCCTTAGAAATACTATTGTAAAAAAAAAAAAAAACCAAAAAACTATTGTCTTCAAAACAACCTAACCACGTAGATGCTGTCAGACCTATTTTTACAACTGAGAGCCCAGGAATTTGAATAATCTGCTTCAGGGCACAGGTGAGATTTAATCCCAGGCTGGTCTGACTCCAGTGCCCACTCCTCTTTGCCCCAGCCACGGAGCTTGATTTGTATTCTGAAGGTGATAGGGAGCCATTAAAGATTTCCTAGCAGTTAAATGATATCAACTCTGTGTTTTGAGCAAGGAACTCTGCCGGCAACGTGGAATGTCTACTGAAGAGGGAAATAACAATCTAGGGTCAGTGCAAGACCTACAGAAGGTAGTCATTTTTTAAAAAAATTTTTATTTTATTGGCCGTGCCACATGTGGGATCTTAGTTCCCAACCCGACCGGGGATCAAACCTGCGCCCCCTGCATTGGAAGCCTGGAGTCTTAACAACTGGACCACCAGGGAAGTCCCAAAGCAGTCATTTTCATTATAGTCACTTCCCATTCTTTATCTAAACAGTGCCATCCAGCTTAATTGTGCATCTTGTCACC